GAAAACAGCTTATAAACGTGGCTCAGAAGCGAGATTGGTCTATAATTCTTCAACAAGGTCTTGTCACCTTTTTTGAAGAAGAGCACAACCACGCTTATGTGCCACGCTTCTGGCATCGTACCCTCGAGAATGACGAAATTGAACAATTTCTGGAGGACTAAGAGTACCGGTTTTCCACCCGCTCGCAAAAGTTCAGTAGTGATTCCGTCATCCCCCGGTGCCTTGTTGTTCTTGAACAGTTTGAGTGCCATTCTAATCTCGTACAGGCTGATGTCTGGGATATCCTTGGTGTAATGTCGGGTCAGCCTTGCTCTGGTGTCCTGAGCATTGCTTTCAACGGGTTGTTGTGTTGATGAGTACAACTGTCCATAAAACCTCTCAAGCTCAATCAGAATCTTCGGTTTTGAAGATACGATCGAGCCGTCGTCGATCTTCAGCTTCGTCATCTGACTCGACCCAGCAGACAAATTTCGTGCAAACACTTTGGAGCCTTGGTTCCGCTGTCTTGCCTCCCTAATACGTGTAGTATTATAGGAGCGCAGATCGCGTCGCATCGATTTGGAAATTCGTCTGTTAAGTCGACCATATTCCGACATATCGGTTGAAGATTGCAATCTCATATCCCTCCGGTCCGCCATCAACTTGAGCGTTTCGTCTGAGAGCTTTTGAGATTTAATACGGCGCGGGGCCTTATAGAACTTAGACCCCACAGCTTGGACTGTTTCTACAAACCCGTTGTTTATTTCGTCCACAGACTCGCATTCAGCTAGACACTGAAAGCGATTGTGTTGTTGGAGTTGGAAGGCTTCGGGGTCCTCGATATGAGCAGCACTAGGACGGAGCGTAGACTTCATCAGACGTGACCTTTCGAGTTTATCATTGATATTCAATATGCCTCTAACGATTCGGTGATCGCTACCGGTTTTCATCCTGCTGATCACGGAGACATCATTGAATATGTGCTTTCTGGTTGTCATGATGAAGTCGATCTCATTTTTTGTCGAACCATCAGGGCTCATCCAGGTCCACTTCTTGGAGGGTCTCTTCTGGAAGAAGGAGTTCATCGCAAAGAGTCCCTCCTTCTCCATGAAATCAACCAACTTCTGGCCCCGGTGGTTGCGCCGCCCATACCCAAATCGACCCACCCTCAACTCATCGCCGTTCGAAGCGCCCAGCTTCGTGTTAAAGTCCCCCATTATAACGGTGAAGGTGGTATTAGTCGTATGTATGGCTTCAGAAATCTCTTCATACATAGCCTCTACCTCATCGTCGGAGTGTGAAGAGGTCGGGGCGTAAACCTGTATGACCTTCAGCGAATACCTTTCGGTGATTCTGAGTACAATGTACGCCACTCTGCTCGGCACACTATCGATCTTCACCACGTTGTTCACGAAGGACTTGTGGATGAGAAACCCAACACCACCTTGAGATTTTTGATCTCCTTCCCGGAAAAAGAGCATGTTACCGGACTTAAGGATTACCGTATCCTGGCCCTCTCTTCGGATTTCGGATAATCCCACTATGTCCCATCGCAACTTGCTCAATCCTTCCTCCAGCTCTAATAACTTCACATCAGTCCTCAGTGTGCGGACATTGTATGTTGCCAGGGCCAGAGTCCGTTTGTGTTGGTAGCGCCGAATCTGCCGGGGATTCTTAGCACCCCCTGCCCCTCCGTTACCTGTCCCGCTACCAGAGACAGGAATAGAGGGGCTGCCGGGGACTGGGGGCCGTACATCATTGTCGTCCATCATGAGGGGGGGGGGGGGTGGGTGCCATAATCTCCACGCTTGGCAGGCGACTTGGGGATCGCAGTAGGTGGTGGTAGGTGACACAGGGAGGCGCTGCTGCCCGCCTTCCGTATAATCCCTCTGTCGGCTCCTACGACACCCACGGGAGGATATGGGGGGGTGCTACTCTTAGGCCGGCACCCCACGGCATCCCAGTCTGCCGACTTGTAATGCCACACACGGTGACTACGTGCAACACGTGGTCGTTGCAAGCACGTGAGTGGCACTGTACTCCTAATAAGGCAGCGGTCCGAGGAGCCAAGTGGAGCGTTAGCAGATATGAAGTAGCCATCGGGATGGTAGGTCAACAAAAGATCCAACCGTGAAGGTTTATGACTCTCGAAATCTGGGATTCGCGTAGGCGTAGTGACCAGTTGTGTCAAGTCTTGTGCAAGAGCGAAGGCGTGAACAGATCTCCCCGCGTGATTGGTCTTGCTAGAACCAAGCCATTCGGTATGATGAGCGTTAAAATCGCCCAGTATCACGATCTCTACGAGTGGGATCTGCTGCTGCACAGAGTCTGCAGCCATTTGGACGCGCTTAATGAGTCGGTCAGTTTCGGCATCGCCATCATGAGACCTATAGAGGCACGAATAGACACGGGGGCGGTCGTCGCTGTCTACACGAAGCCATAGGATGGACTGGTCCCTACTTTCAAGGTGACCAAGGCGCCGAGAACAACGGCTTTGCTGTTTCCAGGTGCTAATGGACAGCATTCAGGTTGGTATGAAGCCCCCTGATGTTGCAGAAGTCCACAGATAGTGTGGAGAAGGGTGCCGTGGTCTTATTCATTTCCTGGTTATGTATGAGCGCGGTTTTGCCCCCCCCCCCCCCCCCCAGAATACGAGGGGCGGCCCGGGCGCCCATGCCCAGGTATATTGCACCCTGGAAGTGGGCGTCCGGGAAGGGATTCCCCAACGCTAGCGCAGTTAGAACCCTCCTGGGGTAATAAACTGCTTCTATTCAACTGCGCCATCATAGAGAGGGAAGGGCGGGTTGGGCCTCCGGTACCCTCACTCACACGACGAAATACAACGCAAGCGTTGGTTCACGTCGGTTTTCTGTGAGGCCGTGGTATCACTCCGGTCGAGCCGGCCCATTCATGCCGAAGCGTGGCTCTCCCACGGTAAAGGAGGCTGGAGCGGCTTACAAAATACTTTGGGTCCACGATGCTTTTCTGCTATAGATTGGACCATTCTGTCTTCCATGCCTCGCTCTACATACTCTCGAGTGGTTTTAAAAGCGCCTTGAACTTTTCTGTGTTTTTCTTGTCACTTGTTATTAAATCTCTTTTTTTCTTTTTGGGTGTCTCGCAGTGGCGTAGCTACTAAGGGGCTAGGCGGGGCAGTGCAGCAGCTCAGGGGGCCCTCGAATCTTTACCAGAATATCTCAATCGCACTCAACTTTTGAAAATTTCTCCCATTTTCAAATTAAATATGACAGGTGACAACTCGGATTTAATCATGGTGTGAGAGAGAAAAGAAACTCAGTTGTGAGAAATTCTAAAGTAATAAAAAAGGAATTCCCCTAAATTATTTGTGTGGGTTGACAGTGTTATTAATGTTTTCATCGATTTGTCGGATATCAATACCTGCATATTATTATTTATCGATATGCGTTTTTGTGATTCGCGATTGTGAACTTCGAGTCAAGATTTTTTTTCGAGAATGGTTAAAAAGTTAACGTATCAGGAGTAAGTAAGCGTATGTCAATAATTTTTTTGCACTGGTCCATACAAAAGTTCAATTTTATTTTATTATAGTATGTATACATAGTTACGTAAAGAAATCTATAGATTTCGGCTACTCACTATATAACTCAAAATACCGTGAATAATACAAGTCACATGCGGTAGGGGGCCGTCCATTAATTACATGGTGTTTTTGTAATTTTTTAAACACTGGCAAATGTGGTAACACTGGCGGCGATAAAATGTTTGCAGGGGATTCCCCAACGACGTCTTGTATCGTATCATTAAGTTTCGCTTTCCAGTGAGTACCTTCTTGAGTACAATCTTACATAAATAAATTAGAAAACTAATATTATGGACAAAAAAAAGAAACCCTGTGGTGCATTTAAACGCAAACAACGCCAAAAAAGAGAAGAAAGTAAACATAAACTGCCCAAAATTGACAAGTTTTTTAGTCGGCCTTCTGCAAGTACTTCTGGACAAAATATTTCTATTGATAATTTTTGTAAATAGCTTACATGGCGATAGGTTAAATAACAGTAAGCTGGTGCATTGTATCGATGAACAAATAAATATATAATAAACCCTTGAATCTTTTCTATTTCGTTAAAAATAATTGTTATTTATGTTGTTAGTATTAAATAGTTTTATTACCTGCCCGTGCACGAAAAATAGCTGATGATAAAGTTGCTTAGCATTTTTAAAGTATTTGTATATTTAATGATTTTACTTCAAAAAACGTTACCAGTTTTGATAGCAGTGGTGCCCCATTTTTTATTTGCCCCAGGGCCCTAGGTTACCTAGCTACGCCAATGGTGTCTCGATTAATTTTTCTCTCTTTCTAGTTTTTTAACAACTTTGAAAGTCATTTCTAGGATGCCATCAATAATGTCATTACTAAAATCATCCAATCCCATTGCCTCCCAAATAATATCCCAAGCTTCTTTTCGAGTACCTAAGGATTTGTAATCTGTAGCATTTATTTTAACTTTAACGGGATCTAGTTGATTGCTTATACTTATTAATAGTTTAGTGTACCTTTCTAGTCTCGAATTAAACGTGATTTTAGCTCTTATGAACCGATGATCGCTCCCCGTGTACTGAACCACTTCCGTGTAAAAAAACTCTATGGTCTAAAAATAATCTGTGGTCTAAAATCTAGTTTTATGACAGGAGTCGATTAACAAGAAAATTTTTACACTTGATTTTAAACTTTCATATATTAACATAAAGTTTAAAATAAACTACAGAATATTGACGTATTGTGGCATGGCAACGCCAGAGCAATTCCGTAAATATCCGAACTCGATTTCGAATTCACTGATATATCCGAATTCACGTCATTTAGTGTAAAAATTCTACTGATTCCAATTTTTGTATTAAAATACAAAACTCAGAACTGTAATATTCTATCATTATATCGTTTTGAAACTTACTTCACTTATGCCACGAAATGTTAATACCAATTCAAGGTTAAGCGGATGTCGCTTTCGAAGTGAATTCGGACACCTGAGTGAATTCGAATTCAGGTTGAGAGTTTACAAAGTCGCAAGGCTCACGTTTAAATTGACCTCAAAATTTTCAAGTGACATTTAAGGATTTTTTTATGTTTCCAAGATTCTATTTCGTAGATATTATTACGTCTCTTAGAATAATTAACCATTTGTGCTTATCAATTTTAGAAGCAACGAGAATTTAAACACTACGTTTGTTATCCAAGCTGTTATCATCTTGGGTTATCATTATCACTCCTATTGTGCCCCCCTCAGTGCTCCTCTGATTTTCGTTTAACTTAGTCGTTTCTGGTTTTAGACATTCATATATATAAAATGGCAGCAACACCTGAATTTCCAAGCTTGGATAAACTTATTACGAGTACATTATCCGGAAATGAGCTGAACGAATATAATAGGATACATTATGGACGAACAAACCATCATCAACTTTCTAACACTAAAGAAAGTTCTGATCTAGCAGAAAAGCATAAATTTGATATTGCTTTATATGACTTTCCAGCAAACAAAGAAGAGACTAGAAGTCCACGTATTGTGAGAATTGGTGCAATTCAACATTCTATTACAAATGCAACAGACAATCCTATTGCTGAACAAAGACAAGGTATTTTCAATAAAATACGTAATTTAATTGAAGCCGCTGCTAATGAAAATGTTAATATTTTATGCTTACAAGAAGCTTGGAGTATGCCCTTTGCATTTTGCACAAGAGAAAAATATCCTTGGTGTGAGTTTGCAGAATCAGCCCTGGAAGGGCCAAGCACATTATTTCTTAAAGAACTGGCTGCTAAATTTGGTATGGTTATTATATCACCAATATTGGAAAGAGATGAAGCCCATGGTGACACTATTTGGAATACAGCTGTTGTAATAAATGAAACAGGTAAAGTTATTGGAAAGCACAGAAAAAACCACATACCACGAGTTGGAGATTTTAATGAGTCAACATATTATTTTGAAGGAAATACAGGTCATCCAGTTTTTGAAACTAATTTTGGTAAAATTGCTATAAATATTTGTTATGGACGCCACCACCCATTGAATTGGCTCATGTTTGGTATCAATGGAGCAGAGATCGTGTTCAACCCGTCTGCTACTGTATCAGGTTTGAGTGAGCACTTGTGGCCAGTTGAAGCTAGGAATGCTGCAATTGCTAATAGCTATTATACATGTGCAATAAATAGAGTGGGGACTGAGAAATTTCCTAATGAATTCACATCAGGAGATGGAAAACCAGCTCATAAAGAGTTTGGTCATTTTTATGGTTCAAGTTACATTACTGCACCAGATGGTGTAAGAACACCAGGGCTATCAAGAGTGAGAGATGGTTTATTAATAAGCCAAATTGATTTAAATATGTGCCGTCAAATTAGGGATAAATGGGGATTCACCATGACTCAGAGATTAAATTTATATGCAGAAAGTCTCAATGATGCTGTAAAACATGATTATAAACAACAAATTATACGTAATAACTGATATTTGTTATTAACATCATATCTTTGTGATATTTATGTTTTTCTTGATAATAGAAATTGTAGATAATATTTATAAGCATAATAAAAAGATATGGAGCACAGTCTTTTCATACATTCATAGTTGTACCTACTCATCCATACGTTCTGAAATAGAAATTTTTATATTAGCAAAAAATACATATTATTAGTTACTAAATATTAAATATTAGAGGCCCAATAATTCTATGCTCTACTGGACATTATTTGCTATTTAAGAAAAAAATTACACTTACTGGAGCATATCTTTAGACAGGCCATTAACAACTTTATATTACAGTGTTTACTCCCATAATAATTAAACATAATTATGAGTACAAGACTTGATTTAGTTAATATTTATATATCAAATAAAATATAAGCAAATAATCACCTACATTTATATGTATTTAGAAAAAAAAATTAAATAGTAGTAGAAAATTCTTGTATTTATTTTATTAAGTCAATCACTCTGCTTTCACAAATAATTTAATCTGTCAATGATAAATTCAGGTAATTCTTTTTTCACAAATAGTAACTTATTTGCCAATAAAGGCTGATTAAGTAAATTACTATGGAATAACTATTAAATAAAAAGAATAGGTATTAAATAAAACAGGTATTTGTAAAACATTGTGTATCAATGATGAGAATAATACAGAAGTGAGCTATACATAAATATTGGGACCAGGTTAGTGGGGTACATCCAGGTAATAACACCTTATGATTGAAGTAACAAATTAGAGCTATCAATTTTGAGCACATATTATACATAATTACAAACAAGATCTATCCTAGAGATATTAATCAGACCCACATTAAAAAATTAACACATTCAAACAATATTTGTCACTATGAGATTAAAATTAATGATAAGGATATCGGTTTAATGAATACAGTGACACCATATGTATGAATATTTTGTATAAATTCCCTATAATTCATATCAAGGCAGATAATACCTCTTTTTCATAAAAGAATAGTGATTGCACATTAATAGAACACATTTATAAAATTCAGCACCAGATTTCGATGGCAAAAATTGAATCTAATAAAACAAAAGGAATATTTACTGCATGCACCCCAGTACCTTGACTGTAAAATTAGTTTATCACTATACACTAATACTTTATGCAGTCTTTGCACGGATTGCTGCACGTTTACCAGTGACAGCTTGAAACCCAGACTTAATGCTGGCTACAGAGCAACGTGACCCACATGTTTCACACTGCAAGAAGAATAATCTTGTGTCTTTTTGCAAAATCGTATCAGGTGAACGACATGTATGACAAGTTACATATTCCTTGATGTATCGACGAAGAACATTTTCTATTTGCTTCTGTTGGAAACGTCCCTTTATTATAAGTTGGCTGTTTCCATCCACAGAACCACTAGTACCCAACTCAGCAAGTAAAAAATCGAGTAGATGTTTGGGTTGCCTATGCAAAGTCTTACAGATTTCTGTAAAGTTTGCAAAAGAAGTCTTCTTAGTACCAATTCTCACCACCTGTGGTGGCCTCATTATAAACTTTTGTTTTTTGCCTGACACCATACTAGGATTCTTTTCACGCATTATGTCAAAAACGCGCTCAAGAAGTTCATCATATGTATAATCACGGTCACTGCCAATCCAATCCCCATGTACATCTTCAACATTTTCTTGATCTTCACCTTTGACATCATCGTCTGTTGGCAGTTCATCCACATTTTTCTTCTTTTTCTTCTTTTTACTTTTAGAAAAATCTATGTCTAAAACTAAATCATCTATGACTTCATCCTCTTGTGGTTCGGGCTCTTCAGCAGGAGGGGTATCGGGTAAAGCGCTTTCCATTTCTTCTAGATTGAAGAATGTCTTCTTTTTCTTCTTCTTTTTCTTTCCAAAAGTATCCAAATCAAGGTTATCATCTTCTGGCACGTCTACGTCACCTGTATCGGCGGGTGCCTCCACACTCGTGTTCTCTTGTTCTGCTAGAGCAGCTTCCATGTCAAATCCAGTCTTTTTCTTCTTCTTTTTCTTTAGAGATGGGTCGAATACCATATCTTCATCCATTTTTAAGACTGAATATTCAAGAACAAATTGTTTGGTTAGAAAAAGGTATGCACCTGAAATAAAGTTTAAACAGGCTAGCCAAACGCAACGTGATGAGATTTGAGAATGTCAAAATGTTGCATCAGATTTACCATAGACCTTTTTTTTATCTATTCTGGCTTGGGACACTTGATCGTTGCTTAGTTCTTTACTGTGGTTATTTGGGTTTAAACGGCTGTTATTTAAATGGTCAACAAAATGTTCGTATTTTTTCTGAGGATAAAAATATTTTCGGTTAGCTAAAATAACTAGTAGGGCAACAAGCAAAAATGTTGATATAGTGCCGCTCATATCGTCATACACAAAATAGCGCATGTTACTAAGATTTATTTATTTTCTACCTTATAAGGGCAGGCCGTAAAAGGGCTGATAGACATAGGTTTTCTTTGTATAAAGATTACTTGCCATGACTGGTATGGTATTTGCTCTTTGACTGAAGATAAGTGTTGAGCAAAATCCCTTTACCTTATAAGAAAAAAAAAATAGAAAAATACTAAGTAACCTAAAATTTTTGTAGTTTGTGTTTGTGTTTAATTTTAAATGAGATTTTCTCCTTCGCCTGTCCCATGGACGAATTATAATACTACTACTTAATGAGATTTTCGAAACACACAGTTTCTTCTATGTTTGCGCACTAAAATGTATCGCTTAGAAACTACTAAAAGGTTTTTTCTGCGGCTATCAAGACACCATTCACAAGCAGCGTTACAAAATGAATACTCCGACACTCCCGAGTATCCGGAAATCTTAGATAATTCTTTACAGGGCAGAAAGATACGAGTCAGAGAAGCCCTATTTGAGAAAATAAAACAATTAGAGACTGTTGAAGAAAAACAAATAGCCCTTAATATGCCTCGTTTCTACGGCTGGAAATGTGTCATGTTACGTGATGATAAAATTCCATTTAATGCTATGCCTTTGGTTCAATGTTACACAAGAAGCCATTTTATTCCTGTAGAAAATCTACCTGATGCTTATTGCGATACTGTTAAACCTGCAGAAGAAATATGTAAAGAAGTAAAATCATTTATCGAAGATGCTATAAGTATAGAAATGGAAGGAGTGGCGTAAGTAATTCCTAAGTAAAAAAAAATATCTATAAAAAATTGGACCTGTGATACATAATTCTTAAAGATGTCATAGACAACCATAGAGTGGAGTTTTTGTTTTTCTAAATAAAATCATATTTGAATTTTTCAGACGCAATTTAAATTTGTCAAATGACAAACCAATAAATACTCAAAAAGAAAATGAAATAGCTAGAAATCTAGTAAGGCAAATAAATAGAATTATAGCAAATAATGGAGCTGAGAAATTTCCACACATTTTATCAATGCAGGTTTGTTAATACTATATTAGAAGATATATGTTCAGAAGAACAGATAAATAAACCTTTCTATATTGTCACAGGTAGATCATGATCCTCGTCATGAAGCATTTTGGTTTGTAGGGGGTGTTGACATACCAACTGGAGTAAGAAAATGGAGAAAACAGCAATCGTGGTATAAAGATAGAATGAATGAAAATTTTGACAGACCAGTTCAGTACATAGGTAAAATAATAAAAATAAACATATTTAGCTTTAAAATAGGTATATTACTATATATATATGATACAATAAATAATCTAAATAGTGTTGACAAAATCACTTTAGTTTTTCAATGTTTTAAAATTAATACATCAAGATACATGTATTATATATCTTGATGTAGATATATGTATTATATTACCTACTATAAGGTAATATTGATTAACTGTATGAATAAGATTGAGAACATTCTATCTCAAAGACTATATATCAACAGGTTCACCGTTTGTAGCATTAAGAAGCCATCTTCCACTAAAACCACTGATTTCATATAATGAAGCTGAAAATCCAGATTTCAAAGTTGAAAAGTTTTCATATACTCCACAAAACGTTGGATATTTCTCAAGTTTCAGACATGGAACAAATATTCCAGGTAAAATCTTATATAACTATCAAATAAAAGAATTCCCTATTAAATAATTATTTCAAGTGCATACTAGTAACTTTTAATTTCAGGTTTCTGGCCAGGTGATTATGATGAATTTGGTTTCTTATCTTACCATGGCAGAGGACACATTCTGTCACGAAAAGATTCATTTGGACAGGATGATAATTTAGAAGCGTTGCACTGCCAAGCAATTAAAGCAAGCTTTGGTTGGTTACTAGCACAAGCTAATTATCAAGGATTCACAACATATAATGACATTACTTACCCATTGGTTACACAAACTGTTATAACTAATGGCCAGTTGTGGTCCTTCTATGCTTATCAACTCAACACGTTAGTAATGCATAATGAAAATATAGATGATAATCCTAAACACAATGTTTGTTTTGGTACAAAACCATTGAAATTATATGAAACTATTGAGAATGGAAAAGTCAAAGGTCTGAATGAAGATGTATTGAAAATGTTAATACAATTTTATTTAAATCAGCCTGAAGAGAGAGAACATGATTTGAAGCCTTATTTGGGAAAAGAAAATCAAATTGTGGCTGACATAGAAGATGACAATAAAAGATGTTGGCTTGAAAGTAGATATAAGCATTTAGTGTCAAATAGACCAAAACACTTTTTGTTGCCTGAAACTTATCTGTGGGAAAGAATATACAAAATCCAACATAATACAAGATTCCATGAGGCAAAGAGAAGACCTTTTGAACTTGGCATTTATCCCTTCAAAAGGCGACTAAATGAACATCTGCCTCCATATATTCCTAAAGCTCTTAGACCATATCCAAAAAGCAAGAAAAAGTTTGAAACTACTTATTATCCAGATGTATAATATTATCATTAGATATCAGATAATATATATAATATTATACATGTATGTATTTATGAATACCATTAATATTAAAATTAGTAATTAAATTATCAATTTTATTTATAGACCTAAATTATACAGAGTCCTATCTTCATATGACTGCTCTGCAATAGGTACACTACTACGAGGGTCAAACTGAAAGTTCTTAGAAAATCAAAAACTGATTACATTAGCCAGTTATTAGTTTTATTATATCTTTTCAAAATATTGTCCATTCACGTCAATACACGCTGCATGCGATGGAACCACTGGGAAAAGCACTTTGCCCACTCGTCCTTAGGGGTCTCTTCAATGGCATCGCGATACGCAGCCACCGCTTCTTCAGCATTCATAAACCGCTTTCCTTTAAGTTTTTCTTTAATTTTTGGAAATAAATAAAAATCACAAGGCGCGAGGTCGGGGCTATACGGCGGGTGACCCAGTAATTCTACGTTTGATGTCGCCAAATAGTCGATCGTTCGCTTGGCGGTGTGCGACGAGGCGTTGTCGTGGTGAAGGAGGATCCTACTGCGAGGTCGTTTCTCTCGAACTTTTTCCAAGACAAGTGGCAAACAATTGGTAGTGTACCATTCTGCAGAAACTGTTTTTTGATCCTCTAACACAATTGTTGCAAAATGACCTATCCTTCCAAAGAACGAGGCCACCATTTTTTTTCCCGCACTTCGATCTCTCTTCACTTTAGTTGGCAACTCCTCGAAAGGAAACACCCACTGAGCAGATTGTCTTTTGGTTTTAGGATCATAACAGTAAATCCAGCTTTCGTCACCTGTTAGTATGTCGAACACAGCATTTGAGTCACCTCCGTTAAATCTTTCAATCATTTTACGACACCAATCCACACGATGGAGTTTTTGAGCCTCAGTCAAATTATGAGGTATCCACCGGGCGCAAAGCTTCCTGACCGCTAAATGTTCGTGGAGGATTTTGTGCACTTGACTCATACCGATGCCTAAGCTTGTCCGAATCTGTTGATAGGTCACTCTTTTGTCAGTCTCTATCATACGCCGCACAACACAGATGTTATCTTCAGTCGTCGCCGTAGAAGGCCGTCCCTCACGTAAATCATCAGTGAGATTAGTGCGACCACGTTTAAACTCATTAAACCAGTTGTAAACAGTCGCACGAGATGGGGCTTCATCGTGAAAGGCCAATCGTAGTCTATCATAACTTTCTTGTTGACTTAAATGACATCGAAAGTCATAAAAAATCATTGCACGAAAATTTTCTCGTGTTAAATTCATGATGACGTGACACAGACAATTTTCAATTTGCCGCCAAATCGTAAAACAAATGACAAATGAATGAAATATATACTCAGTAATATTGGCAAAGAGTTATATTTTCAAATTTTAGAATTATTTTTTTATTATATTGTTTATAAGTGGCCAGTTCTAAGAACTTTCAGTTTGACCCTCGTACAAGCATGAGGCACGTGTGTGCGTGAGCACTGGGCTGGCGCTCCGTAACGGCCAGTGCTCAAGCTCAGGGATCGCGGTGTTCACGGTGTGTACGTTCTTTTGTGAAAATTATTGAAAGAGTTGACCAATTTAACAGTAGGAATTAATGATTATCAATTTGATTTACCAAAAAAATAGTTTATTCTGTGTATCGAAAATATAAATGTGAGAAAAATAAATTAATGCCAATCAATACCTATAAACAAGCAATCACAATCACTATAAAGATTTCAGTGAAGGTGGTTTTTAATAATACCTCCAGAAAATTTTATCTGATTTATTGAATTGCTCGAAATTGTTAATATTGGTAACAATATTTTAAATAGTACCTATACAAGAAATGAAATTTGATATGCCTTGTGATTGCTTTGCCTTACGTAAAATTTTTAATTTATCATTCAATTAAACGTCACAACAACGTTATTGAAAAACTACGAAATCAATCATTCGTAAAACACGTTTCTTTATAGTCGACATTTCATTAAACATACGTTTATGTATAATAAAAAAATACGACTTTTTTTATTTCCTTCTGTGCCAACCCTACCAGAATAGGTACTTCTTTACTCATGTGCTATTGACACAAACTACATAGGGTATGTTATTGGCTAGTACAAAGTAGATGTGGCTAAATAAGCGCTTAGCGTTTTTATCGTACTAAGCGCTTAACGCTGTTAAGTAAGTACGCCCGCGGCCGAGCGGGCAATATACGCATGGGCGCGAAACTTTATTAAATGGTGGCGCGAACGCTAATAGCCTCATGAATGATTTATTCTCGCAGCATGTTAAAATACAATCGCGCGCAAAGCCGACCTTGCATCAACGTGATTGGTGCGAATGTTAATGGACACGTCAACAGTGTATTCTCGTAGCATACTAAATTGTGATTATGTGAGTAAAAAAAATTATATTAGATAAAAAAATTAAAAGTTTTAATTGTAAAAAATATATATTTTTGACACGATTCATTATGATAAGTACGTGCTTATAATAAACATAATAATGGTAATAAATATAAGGACTTAGTGAAGGGGTATAAAATTGTATTATGTGTAGATAGTAAAATATTAATAAAGTATTGTTTACGCGCTCTAAGCACTGATTAAGCATATGATAAAAGCACGCGCTCAGTTCAAAGATCGTCATGTAATATATAACGTGCTACGAGATTTAGTGTACTGCTTGTGTTACGCACGCACGTCTCGTCGAGTTGTATATATTAGATGATCTTAAGTAAATAATATATAATAAATAGGTTTAGTCAAATGTATGTAGTCAAAGGTAATATTGAACGATACAACCTCTGGGTGTATTTATTCCCATAATGTTAAGGTAATTTAAGTTATAGCATAAGCTAATTAAATGATTATGAAGGGTTGGATTTTAATTTCCTAGAGTATGGTTCTCTTTAAGGTATTTCCTCGCTAAGGAGGCTTAGGTGGCTCTCTGTATGGTATTGCCTCACTAAAGGGAGGCTAATGTTCATTCTCTATTCATTCTTATTCTCGATGACAGGGGTATTAAATGTAAAATGTTCACCTACCCTCATGTTTACGATAAAAATGTATGAGAGCGAGACGGCGCTGGTTTACGCGGGATCTTCCGTCTCGCTCTGACCACATAAGAGCGCGGCGCGCCTTAGAACGATTATGAACTTCGACAGCGCGGTCTTGTCCGACACGATGCGAGTTATGTATGAATGTGTTTAACATGATTTGTAATGTAAATAAAAGAAACAGTAAAATGTATTAGTTAAAGATAATGTGATACATAGATGTTAAGAGTGGGGGTGACTACGCCAAGTAGGGGTAAAATATTTAATAAGCTAACAAACTGGTTATGTACGGAGCTAAGTGCGAGCCACCCCAGCAAATGTAAGACGGGTCGATTCGAGCAATTTTTGCATCCCGCTCTCAGCTTTCGTTGCGCGCCCCCGTGCGCGTACACGACTCTCTCCTACCCAAACTGTGAGTACGTCTCGTGCCTTCTGCACACCCCGAGCGCAGGCCCTGCTGCTTTTGTTTTTTCAAAACATTAAAACTCACTATCAACTTTGAGTCGGTGAATACCATACGATGGCAACTAAGCCGGCTGAGCGATCCCGGTGCGCTCGCTAAGGCCCCTCAGGCTTTAGCAACACCGAAGACCCGATCCCAGTGCACTTGGGCCTTGTCCCAAGGGTGAAGGTTTGCCGCTAACTCCATTAGGGATAGCCGCATTTTTCCGCGTCCCCCTTCCCCCCTCGCTTCGGCGCGGGGTCGACCTTTTGCACAGCGCCGAAGCCCAAACCCTCTTCTAAGAAGGGAAAAAGGCCAGGCGCTTAACAAAGCCCCCTAAACTGCGGCGAACTTCCCCACCCTACCAAAGGCGAATCATTCCGCTACCAAATCGGCCTCACAACCGATATGCCCCCCCCCCCCCCCAACCCACGAAGGCGAAGGCTTTTGCCTCACCTCCCAAAACCGCCCCTGCTTCTTCATCTATGGCTGATGACATAAATCTAGTTTTAAAATTAATTTGTGGAATCGACATAAATGAAATTTCCACCATAGCGGCTAAACTCCGCCGCGCTTCGTCCACCCAGGAACGCTTTCTGGCGCTATGCGAACACGAAGCGTTATTAAGTGCTTTATCATAAGCACTAATAACATGTTAGGTTTCCCAAACCTCCCACAACCCATCCTTTGGCCGACCTGGACCACTTTACGAGACCCAGTAGGCCAAATCCACCCCCATCATACTGACCCTTCAGGTCAACCCTCTCTGCCCTCTCGACCTGACATCTCTTCAGGATGCAGGCCACACAAATTGTTACGGGTATCAAATAGCACCCTTCTGGTGGTATGTGATGCTCCCATCCCTGCCCTCTACACGTCGACCCTTCAGGTCATACCCCCGTCCGATCTGGCTGATCGTTCCCCTTCAGGGAGTCAGCTGTATTTCAATCCGATGAGCCGAACCCCCGGGGTTAACGGCTAACATCTCGATGTCACAATTCATGTAAGTGAATAGTGACGTCTGCGCCGCCCCCCCCCCACTCGCAGGGGGGCGGTCGCTCCGGTCGAAGGTTCGTTGCCCCTTCAGGGCACGCAACCAACTGTGCAAGGCGGTGTTTGGTCAGTAGGAGTCTGACATTACCTCACAGCCGGCTGTGGGGTATCCAATGAAGGATTCACCGCCTCCTTCCCCTGTTGGGAGGGTGGGTCCGAACCCTTAAGGTTGAGAAAAAAAAAAAAAATTTTGTAAGCTCTCCGGCCTTCAAGATGCAAATAAAGAAGAAGTGAAAATTATCGAAGGAGTTTTAATTCTACAGTCCAGCATCGGCTAGCTACGCAACAGCTTGATTTTAATAAAATAAGAAATGCTTGACTTAACGTTTGTCGCGCATCCTTTTTATTATGTACTTGGCGCGTGATTAAATTAACGCATTAATTAACACGTTTCTTTTTATTAATCAATCGGTTTGGATTAATAAATCTACTATTTCGTATATGATTTACTGATGCTTGTTATAGGATCTAGTGGCGGACCGGACTGACAGAAACTTGGTATTG